AATCAACCAACCAATCAACCAACCAAGAATGCTTATCAAGGTAACCCCAGTTGGAAAAAAGTAACCCCTGTTGTTTTCATCTGAGGGTTAGTAAGCAAGTGGAATACCTCACTGTATTTTCAAAGAAAACTGCAGACAAGGAAAATACCAGGGGTTTCAAGTGCCTTCCAAACAATTTGAGATGTTTTATTTACACCATGAAGACAGATTTTCCCTGGAGTATTTCCTGTTCCAAAAACACTTAAGGACTCTGCTCTTTTGGGCTGCTTCTTGACATGGAAAAATTTTAATGTCACTGCTTTACCTTTAGTTTGGGATTTTTGCCTCTTCAGTCAACTGTCTGCTCTACTAGTTGCATCTAGCTGTTTCATCTTGCCTGATGTAACTGTCCAAACCACACTCAAACTCCCTCATTTCAACCTGCATTTTCTCTAAAAAATGCATTTACTGTAGAATATTTTTAAATGTTTTTCATTCCTATTTTGATTTTTCACTTTGCTAAATCCATCAGTAAATGTTTCTTAAGTGTTTGTTGTGTTTAGGCGTTGTGCCTATTGCAGCAGGAAAAACAAAATGGCATAAAAACTTTCCTCAAGGAGCTTGTTGTCTAATTGAAGATTATTAAGCAAAGGGATGCTTCTCGTGTTTGACCTTTCCTTTCAATTCCTGTTACCCTCCTTGACTAGGCCCTGTTCATATCACAGTAGCCTCCTAAATTGTCCCCATGCTTGCTGCTGCTGCTGCTGCTGTGTGTGTGTGTGTGTGTGTGTGTGTGTGTGTGTGTGTGCTCAGTTGTGTCCAGCTTTTTGCGATGCCAGGGACTGTAACCCACCAGGCTTCTCTGTCCATTGAATTTTCTAGGCAAGAATACTGGAGTGGGTTGCCATTTCCTACTCCAGGGAATCTTCCTGACCCAGGAATTGAACCCGTGTCTCTTGCACCTCTTGCATTGGCAGACAGATTCTTTACCACAGCTCTACCTGGGAAGCCCATGCTTGCTATTACCCCCAATTAAATTAACCCTAATTAATTTTCTTAAGAAATTTTATTATAGTTATTCTCCCACCATCTTACCCTCTTTCTTCCCCCGCAAAAATTTCAAAGATACTATACTATATTTTTTGATAAGGTTCAATCTCACTAAAGTAAGGTTCAATCTCATTATCTTGGCTCAAAATTTCCCCATTCTCACTTTTTAAATCTGAGTCCTATCCATTTTCAAGTCCTGCTTCATTCAGGTATCTTTTTTCAATTCCCCACTGAGACTGATCTTTCCCTTCAATTTCTGTACATTATAGCCTACATCACTCATTGACATTTCACTTATATTACCTTGATATGTTTTATGTTTAGGTGGTTTTTTCCCATAAAATTGGCCAAGGAGCCAAAAAAATGAAGCCCTTATCACCCTTTTGGATTGTACATTTATTGAGGGCAGGTCCTGAGCATAGTGCATTGCACACAAGAGATGATTGACGGTTGATGATAAAGATGGTGATGATTTTTCCTGATTTCAGGGGATAGGATGGATTATGAAAGATAGCAAAGTAAAGATTCTGCAGGTAGGGAGATGAATTAATGAGGCTTTTATAATAATATTCAAAAAAAGTTGATGAGGGCTTCAATTTATTGTTTCCTTGGCTCAGAGCCTCATTGTATTACCAGAAGGATTTTAGTGAGACTGAAAAGAAGGGAGGGGAGGACTTTGGGACTGCTGTGATTTTATGTGGGAATGAGGAAGAACTAGGTAACTGAACCGGAACAAGTACAATAATGATAGCATTAACTTGAAAGAGGAAATCAGAGATGGAAGCTGGATTTAGAGGGAAGATGGTGAGTTTGTTTTTAGACATATTGAGTTACAATAACTTGAGTAATTAAGTGAACATGTCTGACAAGCAGTAAGATACTGCTCTCCATTCAATTCAATGAAACAAATATTTACTGAACACCAACCATATGCCAGTTGCTATGCTGGAGATATAGTCAAATAATACACAGTCCCTGGCCTCCAGAGCTCATGTTTGCTCAGGGAAGTCAAATTAATAAATTCCTATAAGGTAGTAAATGATATGATAGAATTATATATAAAGTGTTGTGCGTGCATGCTCAGCCGCTTCAATCGTGTCTGTCTCTTTGCAGCCCTATGGACTGTAGCCCACCAGACTCCTCTGTCCATGGGGATTCAGAATGCTGGAGTGGGTTGCCATGCCCTCCTCCAAGGGATTTTCCCGACCTAGGAATTGAACCTGCGTCTCTTGCCTCTCCTGCATTGCAGGCCAATTCTTTACTGCTGAGCCACCAGGGAAGCCGATATAAAGTGCTATGGGAATATAAATAGGGAATCAGTTGTATCCAAGCAGGTGGGAAAAAGTTTCAGAAGTGACAATCTTTGACCTGGGTTTGGGACGATAAGTAGAACTTTGTTCAACAAATAAATAGTGAAATCACTTTCTAAGTGAAAGTATAGTCTTGAGCAAAGGCACAGGACATGGATGTACATGGCCTTCTGGGGGAACATAGTCTGAAAACGCTAAAGAGAATGCAATGACAAAATAAAGATGGATAGTACAGAAGAGGTAACGATTGTCAGGAGCTGAAGACAGGATTCTGCTACACTAGACTGGAGAGACAGTTTAGTGTGATAGTTAAAGTTGTGAACTCTCAGAGGTGGATGCTCTGGGCTCAGATTCCATCTCTGCCACTTACTAGGGCTGGGGCCTTGAGCAAGTCAGTTTCTCTGTGCTCAGGTTTCCTTATCTGTAAAATGGGGCTAATGGTACCTCCTTTATAGGGTGGTTTTTTTTTTTTCAAGTGAAGCTAGAATTGGTTTTATTAAAAGTAATCAAAATAGTCCCAAATAATATGAAAGTGAAAGTCGCCCAGTCGTGTCCAACTCTTTGCAACCCATGGACTATAACCTGCCAGGCTCCTCTGTCTGTGGAATTCTCCAGGCCACAATACTGGAGTGGGTAGCTGTTACCTTCCCCAGGAGATCTTCCCAACCCAGGAATCAAACCCAGGTCTCCCGCACTGTAGGTGGATTCTTTACCAACTGAGTCACCAGGGAAACCCCAAACTTCAGGACATGACTGAGTGACTTTCATTTTCACTTTCAAATAATATGGCATCCATTTAAATAGATCCTTTTAAAGAGATGAAGCACTACCATAGAAAGCTTCTGCTGGTACTTTAATTAAAAGATCCATAGGGTTGTTTTGATGTTTGAGAGAGCTAGTATATAAACTATTCAGGACAGTGCCTGGCATATAGTGAGTTACTCCAAGGTTACTCCAAGGACTGAAATATAAGAAATAAGGCACCACACCACTGTTTACTATACCATCAACAGCTATAAATAGGAACTGTCTTATGTCTCCAAATAGTCTCTGCACAGATCCAGGGAGCACTAGATGAATCTCTGATTCCCACATGAGTGGGAATTCTTTGAGAGGGTGATATTATCTGCCTTGGAAAGGAAGATCCAATTTAGGAAGGGGTGAGCAGTCTGAGAAAACACATTAGGATGGCCAGAGTGGGACCATTCATTCAGAATAAATGGAAGCTCTCACTATGGCACTTCCCCTCTGGCAAGTGAAAATAAACCAAAAGAAGGTTGAAATTCGGCATGCATATTTTATTTCAGTTTAGTAGGAAATAGAAAATTGACCAGTAGGGACCTTAGAGGGTGAGAGAGGAGACAGTGGGGCCTAGTGACAGGTATCTTGCTGGGCTTGGAGTACATAAAGCAGCCCTCTAAAGAGGGCTAGCAGGTGAAAATGCAGCCCTACTTTGCTAATGAAGCACATCTGACGACTTCGGTTTTACTGCTCAAGAAATCCATTGTCTATGTCTCAGCTTTTTAGAGCTCTACTCGAATGATCCTTGAATAGACTCTTGGAATGATTGTGCTTCCCTCTGTGACTGCTGCTGAAATGAAACTGAACCTTATCTGCCCACCTTGCCAGCCCAGGAGTTTCCCTTGACACATCTTGTTTGAATTCTGTTCTCACCACGTCCCAGCTGGGCAGTCTTGAGCAAGTCACTGAAATTCTCTTAGTCTCAGTTTTCCCATTTGTGAAATGGAAATAAAAATAGCTCCTATATTATAAAGTGGTTATGATAATTATATGAAATAATTTATCTATAAAGTACTTGATACATTGAGTGCTTAAAAGACATAAGTTTCATTCCCCTTTCTTTCCCTTTACATTTAGGCAGCTCAAAGATCCTCTGTGCTCATTTTAGCCCAGCTAGGGACTTCATATCATCTAATGTCTATAGTAGTAGAGATGGGCAGAAGGAGAAGGCAGTACGTGGGAAGACGATGAAGAATGGTGGCTGTTTTTTTCACCCTCCCACCCTGACTTTGCAGTAAGGATATTTTGATGTAGTTAGTATCCACAAGTAGGAAAGATATTCAGATACTGGACAACCCAAAGTAAGAGATATCTATTAAGACATGATGACATTGTGTGAAAATACATCTACACAATCATATACTTAATATGAAGATAGAGCTAAACATTCATATGTTTTAAAATTAGAAAGGAACAAGGAAAACTGAAAACATTTTTGTTAGGATGGTAGAAATATGTTGTTGTAAGGTTAACCTTAGTATTCTTGTACCTATGGAGAGGATCCTCTTTCCCTGATATACTTAAATCTTCGTACCCTCTTTCCAAAAGAACAACAGGAGGACAGGGTGCTAGATTAAAGGGAATTGCACAGTGGGAATAATATGCCCCCATCTCATCTGTCCTTCTGCCCAGCCTTCCATTAACCATCATGATCTACCAGAGGCCAGAGACCTTCCTGTCTGTGGTGCTTCAATGCCCTTGCATCATTAATATCATCATATCTACCCTTCTTCTAGGAGTGGATCTTATGAGGGAGGTATGGAAGAAGTTGTGCATGCTTAGTTGTAAGTCCAAACCTTTCAGAACCTGCAGGGGACAAGGACAGAAATCACTACGTAACACTTTGGACTTTCTTGGCAGGTGAATACCGCTATGCATGAGGCAAAACTTATGGAAGAATGTGACGAATTGGTAGAGATCATCCAGCAGAGGAAGCAAATGATTGCTGTCAAAATCAAAGAGACAAAGGTAAAACAGAGCACTTCAGTGAGACCAAGGCCAAGTTGACTTTACAAAAGTCCAAGTTTCATTCCAGTGATTCCAGTTTAAACTTGGATCATGAAAACAAGAAGATATGGGAATTTAGGGAGAGAGACAAAGAATAAGCAATCTTTGGCCTATGGCTCTGAATTCAGAAAAGATGATGGCAGTTTTGCAGTGTTGGAAACATTTCATATTGTGACTTGGTTGGTAGTTACATGGGTATATGTATATGCAAATATCATTGAGTTGTACACTTCAGATTTGGTGCTTTACTCTATGTATGGTCTAAGTCAACACAGAAAGAACTGTGGACCAGAATTATGGAAAGATCATGGTTGCATTGTAAGGACTTAGGGTTTAATCTGAAAGGCATAAGGAAACCATTCTGTTCAGTTTCTTATGATGGGAAAATACTGATAAATATAGCAGAAGTATGCAGGGTAGATCAGAATAGGATGGTACTAAAGTCAGGGAAGCAAGTTATGAGGCTTATTGAATGATTCTTGGTATAAGTTGATGAAGGCCTAACCCAGGAAAGTGGCAGCACAAATGGAAGGGAAGAACATAACAGGCATTGCTAGAATGGAAATGACGAGAATCATCAACCAATTATATATATATATAAAAGATGAATGAAGGATAGAGAGAGAGAAGACTTTCAGGCTTTTAACATGGGAACTGAAGAATCATGATCAAGAAGGTCAGGTGTGGGCCTTCATGCAGCTATCTGATTTTATGCTTGTTGGTCTGCTGGTTAGTATAGTGATGATGAGCTCATGCTATGTGTACCATGTGAGAAGCTCTGAGAGCCTGGAGTGATAACCATTACTTTGTGCCATGCTGGGTGGTTCCTTACTAACACAGATATTGAAGTTTCTGAGAACACAGATCTGTGAGCACACAGGTACGCATGAATGCCTAGAGAGAGAAATATATACATATGAATGTGGATACTCATAATGAAAAAGGAGGTGTTTTTTATTAAGCATATACATGACAATATATTGACAATAAAATGTCAACAGAGGTGATCTCCAGGTGGTAGGGTTTCTTTTTATACTTTTTATTTTCTAAATTTTCTATAATGACCATGCATTGCTTTTATAATCAAAATAATTAATATGATCAATAAAAGAGGAGGTAGGTAACCTAGAGTGTATGACTGAGTGTGTTGCAGGGTAAGTAAGCGGGTGCAGGGAGGAGTTGGAAAAATAGACATGGAGGGTGGGGGAGAAGGCGAGTGGTTAGTTCAGGGACCATGGGATGTTCATAGGTCTTATTTTTAGAATCACTGTAGCAGATCTCCTTTATGTTGTTTTATCATCTTTAATTAAGCACTGGATGTGTTTATTTTGTTTCTCTTTTGCTAATTCTTTAAGGTTATGAAACTAAGAAAGTTGGCACAGCAGGTTGCTAATTGCCGCCAGTGTCTTGAACGGTCAACAGTCCTCATCAACCAAGCCGAGCATATCCTGAAAGAAAATGACCAGGCACGGTTTCTCCAGTCTGCAAAAAATATCGCTGAGAGGTGAGTTCCTTATGGTCTTTCAACATGCCTCCTCTTAGGAAAAGGGAGCAGCTTAAAGTCACTTAATTCAGTTCAGGCATGTTTGTAGCCACTGCCACCTGAAGATTTTGCAAGCTGGCTACTTACTAAGCCTCAGTGTGGTAGGTAGCCCTGTGGATTTCTGGCGCCCCTTTCTCTGTCTCTGCCACCTCCCAGTTCTTCTTCTTTTTTTTAAACGTTGAAGAATTCCAGTTTTATTCTGTTTTTTTCTAAAGTGATTTTTAAAAAACTTTTTATTTTGTATTGGAGTATAGCCAGTTAACAGTGTTGTGATAGTTTCAGGTGAACATCAAAGTGACTCAGCCATACATATACATGTATCCATTCTCCCCCAAACTTCCCCCCTCCATTCAGACTGCCACATAACATTGAGCAAAGTTCCCTGTGCTATACAATATGTTCCTAGTTCTTCTAATACACAGCCAACCATGCACCCTAGCGATGCCATAGCTCTATGCTACCTACTCAGGCCTGGAGCTTTCTATGTTGGTGTTGGTTTAGGGGAAGAGAAACTTTTGGCCACATACGTAGATGCATGCCCTACCTAAGTCTAGACCGTAGCACTAGACTCCCTGTGTTTGAATCTTGCCTCTGACCCTAAACTAGTTGGTTGGTCGTTGGGGAGTCACACAACCTCTCTGAGTCTCATTCTCATTCTCCTATTTGCAATAATAATAGTGCCTATCTCATAAAGTTTTTGTGAGGGTAAAATGAGTTAATATTTATTTATAAAGGTTTAGAATAATTCCCAGCATGTGGACTTTCCTGATGGTCCAGTGGTGAAGAATCTGCCTGCCAATGGAGGGGACATGGATTCAATCCCTGTTCCAGGAAGATTCTACATGCCTCAGGGCAACTGCTGAAGACTGAGCACCCTAGAGCCCATGCCCCACAACAAGAGCAGCGTTAGTCTCTCAGTCGTGTCCAACTGTTTGCGACCCCATGGACTGTAACCCTCCAGGCTCCTCTGTCCATGGGATTTTCCAGGTAAGAATACTGGAGTGGGTTGCCATTTCCTTCTCCAGGGTATCTTCCTGAACCAGGGATCAAACCAAGGTCTCCCGCATTGCAGGCAGACTCTATTGTCTGAGCCACTAGGGGGCTTCCACAAGAGAAGCCACCGCTATTGAGAGTAGCCCCTGCTCACCACAACTGGAGAAAGCCTGTATGTGGCAACAAAGATCCAGTGCAGCCAAAAATAATTAATTAAAAAATAATTCCCAGTACAAAATAAATACTCAGTATTCTTATTATTGGAGAGCAGAAATTGCAGATGAGAGGAGATTGCCAATTCTTGCAGTATTACTATTAGCTATATTTGACTATTTAATTGGGGCTTCCCAAGTGGCTCAGTGGTAAAGAATCAGCCTGACAGTGTGAGAGATGCAGGAGATGTGGGTTTGATTCCTGAGTTGGGAAGATTCCCTGGAGGAGAAAATGGCAACCCACTCCAGTATATCTTGCCTGAAAAATCCCATGGACAGAGGAGCTTGGCAGGCTCCTCCATAGGGTCATAAGGAATCAGACACGACTGAGTGAGCACACATACACATTACCTTAATATAAATAACTTTTAAATATTTAAGAAGAATAAATTAGAGGTGAAGAAATTAAAATTATTTCAGGAAGTTTCCTGTAAAGGGAAAGAGAAAAATATGGTGATAACCAGAATGAGTATGAGATAAAGGAAGGTTGTGAATACTTTTTTTTAGATAGCAGAGGCATGAATGAGTTTAAAAGTGGATGTGAGGTCAGCTAGAGATGGGCAAAACTGAAGGTATGGAAAAAAGGTATGTGGCCAAGTAATGGATGTGGATGTTGGTATGCCCAGCAGTTTGGTATGATAAATTAAATAATTTATCATTTCATATCTACCCCTGTCTCTCTAAAATAGGAGGCAAAGTCATTTGCTGAGCATGAGCAGGAAGTTAGGGTTCTCTAGCTTTTTGAACATATGGAATACAGTTATAATCATTGCTTTAATGTCTAATTCTAATATCTGGGTCAGTTTCAACTACTTACTTTTTTCTCCTCATTATGGTTTTATTTTCTTGCCTCTTTATGTGTCTGTGCTCAGTCTCTTGTGTCCTACTCTTTGCGACCCCATGGACTGTAGCCCACCAGGTTCCTCTGTCCATTGTATGGCTGGTTATTTTCTATTGGATGCTAAACATTGTGAATTTTATCTTATTGGATGCTGTATATTTTTGTATTCCTATAAATATTCCTAAACTTTGTTCTGGGACACAGTTAAATTACTTGAAAATAGCTTGTTCCTTTTAGGTCTTGCTTTGAAAATTTTTTAGGTGTGATCAAAGCAGTATTTAGACAGTGGAAGTTTTTCCCCACTACTGAGGCAAGACCCTTCTGAGTACTTTAACAAGTGCCCCATGAATCATGAGATTTTCTGGTCTGACCAGTGAGAAAATACACTATTCCTGGGCCTGTGTAAGCATTAGTATTTGTCCCCTCTAATGTTTTTGGATGGCTCTTTCTCTGGCATTGGGCACTTTCCCCCACATGCATGTGTTGATCAGTATTTTGTTGAATACTAGAGGCAAAAACCCTTTCCAGTTCTCAGAATTCTCTCTGTGCATTACCCTCTCTAGTCATATGCCCTGAGAACTTCAACCAGCTTCAGTTCAGTTCATTTCAGTTCAGTCACTCAGTTGCGTCCGACTCTTTGTGACCCCATGAATCGCAGCATACCAGGCCTCCCTGTCCATCACCAACTCTCAGAGTTTACTCAAACTCATGTCCATCAAGTCGGTGATGCCATCCAGCCATCTCATCCTCTGTCGCCCCCTTCTCCTCCTGCCCGCAATCCCTCCTAGCATCAGGGTCTTTTCCAATGAGTCAACTCTTCGCATGAGGTAGCCAAAGTATTGGAGTTTACTCTGCATATAAGTTAAATAAGCAGGGTGACAATATACAGCCTTGACGTAATCCTTTTCCTATTTAGAACCAGTCTGTTGGTCCATGTTCAGTTCTAACTGGACCAGCTTAGTCTCCTTGATTTCTCAGCTCTGTGTTCTTAATTAGGGACTCCATCAGATACCACCTGATTGCCCCTTCATGTACCATTTTATTCCCTTAATTTTTCTGGAACAAATTTTCCCTTAGCTTCCTAAGAGAGAGTACAAGGGAAATACATTTTTGAGAATTTATTGTTTAAAGAATATTTTAAATTTATTTTCTAAATTGAAAGATTGGAAAAAATTTCCTTATAATTTTGAAAGCCATGGCACTATTGTCTCCTAGCTTCTCCTAGTGTTGAGAAGTCCACTAGTTTTTTGATTTCTGATCTTTTGAATGTGACATATATTTTAATATCTGAAGCTTTGAAAGTCTTATCTTTAAGCCACTTTTCCTGAAATTTCACCAATATATGTCTTGGTGTGAGTCTTTTATTATTCATTTTTGTTGGGCTCTAAGTGAGTCTTTCCAGTTTGAAGACTATTGACTTTTAGTTCTAGGAATTTGTGTTTTATTATTTGCTAATGGCCTCCCCCTCTTCTCCCTTTTCTCTTTCTGGGACTCTTATGAGCCAGATTTCGAACACCCTAGATTTTCCCTCTTATTTTAAGAAACCTTTTCTTCTACTGTTGCAGAAACCAGTAATTAAGAAACCAAGCACCACAGTTGAAGAGTTGGAGAATTCAGGTTTATTACACTGGTGGGCCCAGAGGAGTTAACACTCTAAGCTCTGAGCCCCGAACAAAGGGGTTCTAGAGTTTTAATAGACAGACTATAGTGGGCAACACTAGCTGCTAATAGGCTGCTTTAAACTAAGGGGTTTCGTGTGTGTGGGAACAGGAGTCAAGATGGGGAGAGGGATGCCTGACCTTTACACAGACAGGCATGATAAAGCAGGTTTGCAGGGGCAGGGCAATTGCAAAGAGCAGGACAAGGGTGAGTGAGGTAAGCTCCAGTTCCTAGTATTGTAAGTCCCCACTTTCTGAGACTACGTGACCTTAGTGATCCAGACTTTGCAAGGAGCAAGCTGAGTTACAGAGGCAGAACAAGCAGGAGGTTGTATAAAATTTTAACTTTTCCTCTTCATTCTCCCCTCTCAATGCTTCTATCACTCGTTGTAGGAAGAATCATCTCATGTTTTAGTAAGACATTCAGAGCTCCCTATCATTTAGGGGACTATATTGCGCTTTTACCATTTGTAACATTATGGATTCAATCCGAGAGGTTATGAACTGGGTAATTGCACTGAGAATACAAGGGCCAAACAAGAGTGCCACAAAGAGCATGAAGAGAGGACCTGTTAAAGGGAGAAGTCACGATAACCAGCTCATTGACTGGGCATGGATGCCCAGATATTGTTTCAATCACCCCAGGAATTAGTTTCTCTCTCCTTTTCATGATTTGTTCCCTTGGCTGTTGGGCCATGTCCCTGACTATTTCTGATTGGTTTACATAAAAGCATCACTCTTCATTCAAGAAGAGGAAGAGTCCTTTTTCAGCTGTCTGTAGGTCTAGCCCTCTCCTATTCTGTAAAACCACCTCAGCCAAGGAGTCTAGTTGGTCCTGTAACTAGTTGGTCCTGTAGCAAAGAGCACAGCAATAATACCAATTAGGGATAGAGGCCAGCACTGACAATGAAAATCCATCAATATTTTGATAGCCGGACCCTCAAGCTTCTGCTGTGCATTGGCCAGCCAGCTGCTGGAGTGTGGCTAGAGCAAGGATGAAGAATCCTCAAGCTTCTGCTGTGTGTTGACTAGTCAGCTTCCAGAGTGACTAGAGCGGGGCTCAGCCTCCTTCATGGGTGAGGGCCGTTGCCTTTGGAACTGGACCTTGAGGAGGTTTTTGGGGTCCTAAACTGCTTTCCAGGTGTCCTCGTCACAGGAAGTAGCTGCCTTCTTGACTGTGGTGTGGTGGATCCAATGGATGACATGTATAACTAACAGCAGTAGGGGTTGCCAGGACACCTGTGTGAGGGCCTGTCA